GCGGCGTTAAAGGGGGCTGTGAACTTAGCAGCATTGCTTTTAATTATATTAAGTTTACTTTTGCATTAAGGCATATGCAAAATATGCTTATAATTAGCATAATGTGTATTTAAGAGGGTATGAAAGGCATTATATAGCGTGGTTAATTTAGCAAACTCTTGCTTATATTAATGGCAGGAGTTGTAATGGCGGCAATAGTTAGTGCATGAATTTTTATGGGCGTTGCGGATATATTTAGGGAGGATATTGGTGTTGATTAAGACTTAAATGCAGCCCTTATATGGGAATTTCTTAGTGATGGGAAGCTATTAATTATTATTATTATTATTGCCTAGGATAAGGTAGTTGTTAATGATATAATAGCTTTTTAGGCCTTGGTTATTATTATTAAGAGGATAGGGCGGGTTTCCTTTAATATTAGCAATAGCAATACCTTAACTATTATGGTTTTTATTAAATTTATTAATAAATATTATCTTGCTAATATTAGGATTGTGGCAGGGTTAATGTATTTATGTTATAGGCATAGGTTGGGTATAGGCTGGGCGTGATAGGAATGTTATTAAATGCAGATTAAGCGCGTTGCAAGGCGGGTAGGTTGGCATAGCAAGGGATTGTGTAGGTATTGCTATTAATAGTATAGGGGGGGTATTGTTAATTGGAGGGTTGGGTTTATAATGTAGGCAGCAAGGAACTATAAGGGTATTGCTAATTGGCGGGAATGTTTTTATTAAGGTTATTAAGGCTGCACGTTAAGCATAGGCTGGGAGAAGGATAAAGTAATAATAGGAGTAATATGTTTAATTAATAATAATAGTTAGGGCAAGGTAAGGTAATATAAGTATGTAGTGGCAATGGGTAATTAACGCTATGGCTGTATAATAAAGTTATTAAAGAAAGGTTGTAATGTTTTATGATTACGGCATAAAAGGAATTTAGGTATGGGATGATTATATTATGGTGTAAACTAAGATTAGAGAATTAATAACTTATAATTATTGCAGTAAGCAAATAGTAATGGGCTGGGCATATAATTAATATGCATTGCACTTAGCGTGTATTATAGCATAATGCTAACTTAGCGTAATATAATGCTGCGGAGTGCATAAATGCTAATAAGGCGGGGTTGGGATGTACAGCTCGTACTTCCTTGATTAAGTATAAACAGGCCTTGGCATAGTTAATATATATAGCCTGTATGCAATTGCGATATGTTAATAAAGGACTGTATATATAGTAGATGCACAATCAGCATAAGATTGTAAAAGCCTTGGGTTTAATCTCTGCTATGCATAGTGTGAAAGCGGGAAGGGGGTTATGTAATGGGCTTGGGTTATTGCCCAAGCCATAATGCATACCTATGCTGGGCCTATACTGCACTTAACCCTTTTATATAACGGGGTATATACTTAAAAGATAGATTTAGGGTTGGGCCCTTTTAAGGCCTAACTTACTTCTTAGATATTATAATTTATAACTCCTTTTGGGTACCTTCCAGCAAACGCTCAAGGCCAACCCATAACATAATTAATTAATACTTAATTATAAGTAATTTACTTTATTAATAAGGATTTTTTAAATTTTAAATATTTTTATAGCATTAAATTAATTAATATATAATTAGCTTATTTTAAGCTTAAGCTAGCATTAAGTTAGCAATGCTTTTAAGCCTTACTTTATAAAAAAAATTTTACACCCTTTTAAATAAACTCCTTTTCTTTATTAATCTTAATTAATAAAAGCTATATTTTTATTTTCTTATAGCAATTAAGGTAATTATACTTATAATAGCTAAATTAATTATATATAAAATATTTAACTTTATTTATTAAAATTATTATAATATTAATATATTTATTACTTTATTATTTTAAGGTTAAATATTATTTTCCTTTATTATAACGTTAAAAATGCCCTTATATTATTATAAGGTAAAGTAAAAGGCCTTAAATATATTTAGCTATTTTTTATAATTAAGCTAAGCTTTTATTATAAAGGTTAAGTTATTAATTATTAATAATATTTTATATTTATTTAGCTAACTTTAAGCCTTTGTTATATAAGTTAATTAATTAAATTAAATAAGAAATTTTATTATTTTTTCTTTATAATATTATTATAATATAATTAAGCTAAACTTAATATATCTTTATTTAAAAGGGTTTTTAAATGCAAGGTAAACTTTTTTTAAAAAGCTTTTTAACTACTCCTTAAATATCTTTATAAAATTAATATAAGGTAAAAATTAATTATAAAAAGTTTTTAATTAATTAAATATATAAAAAAATTAAGCCTTTTTAATATTAATTATCTTTTTATTTATTGCAAACTTAGCCCTTATCTTTATTAGCTAAGTTATTAAGTATTTTTAAAATAAGAATTCCTTAAGATAAGGAAGGGCTTAATAAGTTATTATTATTCTTTTTAAGTTTTATTATATTAAGTTTTATATAATTATATTATAGGTTTATAATGCAAAAGGACTTTAAATATATATTATAAGCTAGCCTTAGGTTATTTATTATAAGGTATTTAAATAGGGTTTATATTTAAAGTGCAAAGAAGAAGGTTCGCTTCCCATCTGTACCCGCGCCAAAGCCTATTCTTATAAGGCCAAAGCCCACTAACTAATCACAATAAGCAAAGCCCAAACCATAACACCTGCCCACCCACAACCCCCCCAGCCAAAGGGCCCATGCAAAGTGCTTAGAAAACCCCATTAAAGCCGATAAATAATAAGCCACGGGCTAGCATGCCCTAGCAAGAAAGCTTTAAATGCCTTACTGCAAGGGGCGAAAAGAGATAAATTGGCAAATAAGGCTTTAACATAGCTCCGTTTAACCCATAATAAGGCTTTGCATTAAAGTTGTGAAAATATAAAAAATACAGAATATAAAATATAAATACAGATACAAATACAGAAAATTTTAAAAATACAGATATAAATATAAATATATAAAATTTTAAAAATATAAAATATAAATATAAATATAAAAATATAAATATAAATATAAATATATATATTTTAAATATATAAATATAAAATATAAATATAAAATACATTATATATAAATATTAATTAATTAAATTTATTAAAAATCTTTTTAAAGTAAGCTTAAAACTAGCTATTTAAGTATATTTTTTTTATTTTTATATCTTTTTTTTTAAAAAGATATTAAATATAATATATAAATATTTCTTTAAAAAAAACCTTATTTTCTTATCTAAATCTTATCTTCTTATTTAATAAGTTTTTACCTTAAGTTTTTTATTTTTAAAGTATTTATATATTTTTAATAAAATTAAATAAAAATATATTTAAAATGCTTAAATTAAATAAAATTTAAATATAATTTCTTTTTATTTTAAAATCATAAGATTTAAATTAAATATTATATAACTTATATTTATATTTGTAATTTATATTTTAAATATAAAATATAGATTTAAAATTTTAAAAATATAAATATAAATATAAATATAAATATAAAATACAAGGCCTATATAAATATAAATATAGATATAAATACAATATTTAAATATAGATATAAATATATGTATTTATATATTTTGTATTTTGGAATATAAAATACATAGATACTGTTACAACTCTGCTTTGTATTAACAAAGGTGGCTTTGCAACACCGCATTAAAGCCGCCGCGGCCCCTTAAAAAAGGAATTAATAACCCCTTATTAAGTAACTATATAAGATCCGCTTTTAAAAAATAGCCCTAGCTAAAGGTAAATTAATAGGAAATGAAAGGAGTGGGGAATAAAGCAAAGTTAAGCTTATATTTATTTTAATTATAGTTAAAAAGAAAGTAACTCCCTTGGAAAGAAGGAAGTATATTGGTTTTTATCTAGCTTTAACACGGTTTTTTTAATATAAAAGATTAATAAAAGAACTGCATATTATATAATTATTTAATTTAAAGTTAATATAATAAAAATATTATTATTATTATTATTATTATTATTATTATTATTATTATTATTATTATTATTATTATTATTATTATTATTATTATTATTATTATTATTATTATTATTATTATTATTATTATTATTATTATTATTATTATTATTATTATTATAATTTATTTTAAATTTATTTAATATAAAATATTTCTTATATTACTTTTAAGAAATAAGAATAATATTTAATTCTTTTAAAAAAATATATTTAAATATATAAATATTAAGGTTTTTATAAAAAATCTTAATATTTCTTAATATATTTATTAAATTATTTTTAAAAAGTATTTTAAAAATATTTATAATATTAAAAATTTTTAATAATTATATAAACTTATAATTTTAATATAATATTATATATAAACTTAAATTTAAAGTTATTAAATTTAAATTAAATTTAATATAATTAATTAAAAAAATATTTAAATTTTAATCTTAAAATTTATTTTTAAATTATCTTTAAAAAGGTAATTTTTTTAACTATTTTTATGTTATTTTAATTTTAATATGCTATAATTTAAGCTTAGGATTAGGGTTATTGGATTTTATTTGGATTTACTATAGATTGTTGAAAAGTATGGGTCTGCCTAGGACTCCTGGTCGGAATCAGGGGTATGTCGGAATCTGGGCCGGGGACGTTAAGTGCGAAAAGTTTGTGTGATATTGTGGAAGATTATTCATCCACGCTCGTCCTTTCCACATGTGCTGCTGGGAGAACTGAAAGAGAACATCCCGTCTTCTTAGTTAGACACGCCGTACTTCCACCATTCAAGCTTGGGCGACGCCTACATCACATGTGTGGTCATTCTATCAGAGTACACAGCTAGTAGAATCAAAATGCCCGGCTAGAGTGAAAATCCGCTAAAAGCATTTGTAATCCAACTCCGCACTCTGAACGAGACGAAAACGTTGAAATGTTCAAGCGTCCCGTAGATTGTGAACAAAAATCAGCTTGGACTGGACGGCTGACCGCATCGTTTGCAACAACTACGAGGAATTATTTCATAAGTTCAAGCCTTGGAAGATGACGAGCAAGACTACAGATACGGGAGGCGTCCAGGTGTTGCACTACCTGAAACGTAACCGAAAGTTCACACGGGACCAATTCTGGGCCTACTGGAAAGATATCCATGGTCCAAAGCTTGTCCCTTTGGCTGAGAAGTACGGATTCACACACTACCAACAGGTGCGTTGAAGTGGCGTTCATCGTATTGAGCTTTGTGATCACTGACACGGACGAATTCCTATGCGCTCACAGCTCCGCACGTTTGGCAAGGTAACTCCTGCATCTTCTCCTGAATCTGCCCCGAACGTGGAAGACGTGGAGTCGAAGGGTGAGACAGCTGGGCTGGTAGAGTTTGATGGCATTGCCATGTTCCTTGTTCCTTCGCTGGACAGCTTTAAGGCTGCCGTTGAGGACCCATACTATCTCAATGTGGTTCAACCGGACGAATACAATCTGATGGACAAAAGCGCACCAGGAAGGGGAGTGGTTGCGAGTTTCCAGGGGCTGATGGTCCCCATAGTCCAGAATGGAGACGATGTGACGGGAGATGAGCAGAGAGCCGAAGTGCAGAAGTCCAGGGAGGCCTTTGCCGAGATCAGTGGAGTTGCTAAGGCTTGATGGATCACGATAGTCTCACAAACTTGACCTGGTAACATTGTTACATGAACTGATATGTTGCACAGAAAGCTGGAGACCTTATATACGCTGGTCTCAGCCACGCATGCTCAAATGAACGTCTTCTCAAAGCGACTTATGCCACGTCATATGAAGAATCTTCTGTGGCTCACACCATAGTCTCCTTGACCCTCTTGGTCACATACACTGGCCAGCCTTTCGGAACAACAGTAAAGTTTGCCCTCCATTGCCATTCGCGCGTCTCATCCACGAGCTTGAGATCGTAATCACGTAGAATAGTCGCAGTGATTTTGGAGAGCTCCATCTTAGCAATGTAGTGCCCAGGACAGGAATTATATCCTGCGCCGAACTTCCGAAACAACCGCTGTCAGTTTTATCACGTGCGTAAAAGCGACGCAGTGCCATTTGCAGACTTACTGGGATAAACTGTTTCTTCTCCAGATCTGCCGCGTCATCTCTGAGCCAGCGCTCTGGGACAAAGGTTCGGGCGTCTGATCCCCATATTTCAAGGGAGCGATGGATGACCCAAGGGTTGACCGAAAGAATCGTGCCTTCGGTGAAGGTACGATCGCCAATAGTCATCCCCCCTGCGGGAACTCTGCGCGGGAGGCCCACTGTAGTATTCGGAGTCAGCTACCAAAGCACGGAGTGTGAGGTTTGTACGAGAATAGGGAGGAGAATGCCACCATTTGCCCTGGCCTGTCTCGAAATCTGCGGCCTGGCGAAGGCTCCTAGAAAGTAGGGGATTAGGCAGCGGAGTTAATGAAGAATCCCCCTCAGAAAGATTTAAGTCGGATTAGGGCGCCGCTTACTTGGAACCGGTGTGAAGAACCGAAGTGCCTCCTTGATACAGGCTTGGACATAAGGCAGCTGCTGCGCGTCCGAGAATAACACTACGTTCGACGTGCATCTCCCGTTGTTCACGGCGTCGTCAACTTCTTTCTTAGCCTTTTCTAGAATTACTGGATTGCGCAGTAAATGATAGAAGAATGACTGCAGAGCAGAGTTGACTGTGTCCGCACCTGCGCCGACGTTATTCGTAGCCTGGGCGTAGACATTGCGAACGTGCAGGCGGTCAGGTTGCTGCCTCAGGGCCCTCAGCCAGTGATCCACAATGACAAACTGACTGTTGCTGTCGAAGTTCCTCTCACGCTCTCTGACTGCCGCCATCGTGGTGTTGAAGACGTGGCCCAGTGGCAAGATGCCAAGCCACGTCATGAACGGATTCGAAATCAACACATTGCGCAAGCGAGGAAAGAAGCTAGCGGATGCTGAAATAAAGCTCAACATCTCCGAGTTGGCGACTGAGTTGCCAATGTCGGCCCCCTTTTCTAAGAAGCCAAAAGGTCTGGCGAAGACAACTTCGCCGATCACATCAAAGGTTGTGTACGCAAAAAAGTCGTCTAGGCTCATAGGTGCCTTGTTAAGCGAAAAATTTTCCATCCAATCAAGCAAACCTTCGATTGTTCTGGTGATGTGTGGCTCGTATTCGAGAACATTGCCTGCTTCTCTGTCAGCCAATACAGAGTTATCCTTTACAAACAAACTGCGTACTTTGGCTATAACCAGGAGACAAAGCCTTGGAGAGGGCAATCTTGGCTTTCGGATCGCAAACGGACATGGGTGCGATGTATCTATAGTCAGGAATTGTCGTTCCGCTATACCAATAACCCTTGGGGATGATGATCAGCCTGTGATAAGAAACGAGGTATGTTGGAGACAAAATCATACCTTGGGTACAGGTGCCAGCAACAGCTTTCTTACAGCGTCAGGGTGGCTGACACTGACCTCATCGTCAGCTATTCGGACAAAATGGCCTGCAATAAATGGGTCACCAATGAGACATGTCACGATTCAAGGTGACTCAGACACGGACGCACCATGCTTGTCATGGAGCTCCATCATCCGAAGATTCTGGTCCCCTATAAATATCTGCACGAGGTGCCATAAACGAGTGAAGGATGCGAGAAAGGGACCTGGCACGTCGCTGATGGTACAAAAGTATTTGCGCCATATTATGATAGCGACGACACCTGCAAAGGCTTGGGCACAAATGTATGGCCACGTGAAGGCGGCTTGGAGGGATTCTACGTGGACCACCGCAGAAGGAAATGGGAATGTCATGTTCACGGCTGCACAAGTCAACATGGATGATCAGACTCTGGCTCTAGAGCAGATCGCTTTTGAGTGAGAGGAGGAGATGATTGCCGGAGATGGGGAATAGTACAAACCACGTTCTTGAATGGCTGCAATTCCAAGGCCAAAAATTTACATCGTATTTATTTAATGCAGTCAGCATTTAGCTCCGCATATGCCCAGGCGATATTTTGGTTTCCATTGGATGCCTGTATGCAGATTTCTACACCTACATGGGGTTGATTGACGACCAGGCCGTAGAATGACCCACCAAACTAAGCAAGGCACCCTCTTCCAGATGGTAGAAAAACCTAGGACATGAGCGTCAACAAGCTACGTGGCATCGCCCAAGAATGTTGAAACGATTTAGTCGCTGGCTTAATTTTCTGGCATGCCACTATCAGTTGGGCCATCCAACGAACCTAGGAATTGATCATGGGCACGAGCATGTTAGTATGTCGTAGATAGATTCAGTGAGTCGGAGTAACGAAAGTGTTTCTATCAAGGCCAAGTCCTTTGGGTCCCACCAATTCGGCAGCCGTCTGTAGCAGTTCAAAAGCATAACACTGGAGACATGTCGTATGTTGAGACAATTTGGATCCAATGCATTACGATGACAAGATAATCGAGGGATATATGTCTTTGCGCTCGGAGAAGCTAGACGTGTGTTTTTCCAGCCCCTTCGACTCCATCAAGATCGCACATTCCGCAATGCATACAGCGCCCTAAACTTGTCTTCTGAACTGTTGCTCCTTCTGCCACGCGAGCACAGTCTTGTTTTGCCTCCCATGTGTATGTAAACTGAATACTCGAGGGGAAGTCTTCGACAAGCGACACCAGAAGAGGTTAAACCTTGTGCACCTCTACTGGAAGCCACAGCTGGTGCATAGAAATGCTATCACTTCTCTACTGGTCGATCAGATTGATTTCAGGCGTGATTAATAGGAGACAAGGCTCCTCAAAACCGCAGTTGGTCAAAATACCTCAGTAGCCAGGAGCTCAGCCACAAGTCCAGCCGTACGATACCATCTCGGCCGTGACAACAGATCAGCTGTGTGCTCTACGCATAGCATTGGTGTCACGTTTTTGGCCGCTATACTATAAGGACAAAAGTGACGCCACTATTTGCATAGTACACACAGTCCTTGTATCGCGACAAGTGGCATTCGCATGTTTCTTGATAAGGTTAAGCTCCAACATCATTCCCGGTAATAGTATCGTTCTCTATGATACCGGGACTTTGGTTTTGGTGTTCTCGGCGGCGCGGCGAGAGGGGTGTGTTGCGATGCGGCCACTACCACTTGCCAAGTCGGCCAGATTAGGGCTCCTTAATCAAATAGAGTTCACTGTGGAGGACAAGCATATGTCCTGTGCGAACCTGTTCCCCACTGCGAGCAGGCAGATCCGTGTTCTAAATCTGATCATGCAAATTTCCTTTATTAAGCTTCAGACATTCAAGCCTAACCTGACCAACCTCCGGATCGCCCGCCGGGTAATCTAGCCCGCACAGGACGGCATGAATCAAGCTCGCACATTTGCATTTACTATTGATAGTATAGAGACTCAATGTAGACCAATCTTAATCCCCGCCATCAGCCATGATACGCTTTGATCCTCGTCATGGACATCGTCTATACAAGATCTGTTTTTATTTCAGGGGCATTCACATAGAGGCGGCCCCATCGCCCTCCTCGCTATTGATAGTCGAGTTCTCACCGTCCTCATCGGGCTCATGACAGCCTCTCCACTTCATCCAATCGTTCCTTGTTCGTTTACTTGGCGCATAATGGTCCTTGTACACTCATTTTACCTTCTCGGGGCCGTCAACTTCGTGCAGGGAGTTGTGGCCCAGGACTTTACCGGATCCCAACCACTGTCCCGCTTGGCGAATGGCTTCATCGTCGAGTACGCGGATGATCCGCAGACCCACTCAGTGGTGAGCTCAACTTTTCTGATTTCCATCCCGAGGTCGGGCGAGGGGGAGATGGTCCTCACAAAGAGCCTTTGGAGGGTGCTTGTCATCTCGAGCTCGCATGTGCCATGCTGTTGTATGGCCGCTTGAAATCCGGATGGCATGTATCAGTAGCCGAGCGGCGTGGCTGTGGCCAGTCTCGTTAGACAAAACAGTGTTGATTTCGATGGCAAAGGGCTGACATTTTACAGGATGTCGTGCAAAAAGTTGCTGCTCAAGTATCAGATGTCACGGGCGTGCAAGTTTCGCACAAAATGGACCTCAGGAGCACCATCTTCAATGGGGCTTCTTTCCAAATCACCAAAGACTCTCAAAGCGGCGCAACTGAAGGCTTAATGGCAACTGATGAGCTTTTGGAGGCTGCCTTACTCCAGATGCCCAACATTGCAGCCGTTTATCCCAACACAGTCCGCTACCTTCAGGCTCCCGTGGACTATAGGGATGTCAGTACGGAAGAGCATTTTCCTTCCATGACAAAGAGGCAGACTGGCAACGGCAGTGACGAGACCCAGATTTACTTTGGGCAGGATGGCACGCCGTTGATCAATCCTCATGAGATGACAGGAGTGGACAGGTTGCATGCAGAGGGGATCACAGGCGAAGGTATCAAAATTGCGGTCATTGACGCTGGGATCGATGCCTTCCACGAAGCCCTCGGAGGAGGTTTTGGGCCCGGTTTCAAGGTAGCAGGAGGATATGACTTTGTTGGCGACCAGCCTGACAACGACGTCGACCCACCGGTTCCCGACAACTCCCCCCAAACAGTTTGTGCAAACCACGGCACTGCCACCTCAGCAATCGCAGCCGGACTTCCTTACAAATTCGGGTTTGTAGGAGTTGCGCCAAATGCCACGATTTACCACTACAAAGTTTTCCCTTGCTCCGGAGGCGTGTCGACAGACGTCGGGGTCAACGCCTCACTTGCAGCATACGAGGAGGGCGTTGACGTGATCAATGCTTCCATCGGAGGCCAAGGAGGATGGGGCATCGACTTATGGGGGGTCATTGCTTCTAGAATCATGGCAAATGGGACGGCCTACATCATCGCAGGTGGCAACGACGGCGCTCGCGGGACTTTCATTGCCAACTCGCTGAGCAGCACACAAGGTGTCCCCAGCATAGGCTCCGTCGACAATGCTTACAGCCCGACTTTAATCGCCAATGGCTCATACAGTGTCAACGAGGGCGAAGCAGTGCCAATTGAGGTAAGTAGCCTCGGGATGTTCTTCCCTACTTTATCGCGGATACAGATCTCGCATATTCTGAGGCTGTTGTACGACTCGTAATGTAGCTGACTCTGCATGCTTATAGTACACACCTGGATTCCCTGCAAACTGGTCTTCACCTTTGGAGATCATCAATCTGCAGGTCAACGGCTGCACGCCGTACCCAAACATGTGCGTAAACCTCACATATGCCACCCACTCGATTTCAGAGGCGGAGGAAGAATTGTCGACTGTCTTCAGCGCCGCACAAATTTCCATGGACCTTGGAGGAGCATGATATGATGCATCCCTACACTTCTTTTGGGCCACTGGTGAGATGCAAAAGCTGACTTGGAGTGCCATAGGACCTACACGCCCAACCAGGTGATACTGCTGCAAAGACCATACGCAGGCACTCCGACTTCTAGCTGTGACCAGAATGCACAAGTCAAGGCTGCAGGGATTCGAAACATCCTATTCTATAACTACTTTGATGACGTTGCCACCAGACCACTTCCCCTGGTGACGACCGAAGGATTTCCCTTTGACTGGCTAGATGGTGTGGGATATGTTGACAATGCCCTCGGAACCAAACTCGCTGGACTTGTGAGCAGCGGCAACAAGATCACCCTGGACTTGCCCTGGAAACCAGACAACGATACAAGAATACCAAGGCTGATGAAGAACGACATTAGTGGCGTAAGTGTTTGCAACTCTGTCCTTGACAATACGAGACTGTGTAGCAGACCGCAGACGCCAAACACGGAGTGAAGACTGACGTTCGCTCAGGGATTTATGTCGAACTACAGCACATGGGGGCCAACGTATGAGGCGAAGATTGGCACAACGTTCTCTGCTCCTGGTGCGAATATTCTGACGGCGGGTGGAACGATTTATGGCGGCCTCGTCATCGCGAGTGGTACATCATTTGCGGCGCCATATGTTGCCGGTGTCTCTGCCCTCATCAAACAAGCCCATCCTGGCATAACTCCTAACGAGATTATCAACCGCCTAGCCACGACAGCAAAGCCAGTCAAGATGCAGTCGAACCAGCGAGAGACACAAGACTACCTCGCTCCCGCCTTCCAGCAGGGCGGAGGAATGATCGATGCTTATGCTGCATTGAAAACTACTACCACACTGAACGTGAGCGATCTCGCCTTCAACGACACGGCGTACAGCCAGCCACAGAGCTTCGAGATCCGGAACGGAGGAGGAGACGTGGTGACATACGAGCTGACCCACAATCCTGGCCCAACACTGTACACCTTCTCATCCGGCAACACCACGGTCACGGCCTTCAACAACGACACTGCCTTCCCAGCTAATATGCTGCCCGACGCCCACGCCGAGTTGTCTTTCTCCCAGTCCTCGGCAGAAGTGCAAGCCGGAGGCACAGCTGCTTTCACCGTTCAAGTGACACCACCCGCCGGACTCGACGCCAGCCGAGTCCCTCTGTACAGCGGCTTCATCACCATCAAGGGGTCCAACGGCGACAACCTCTCCCTAGCATATGGCGGGATAGCCGCCGAGCTGCGCAGCGTCCCCGTGCTGGACACGACGCCCGGGCAGGAGAGGACGGTGCTGATAGCCAACACGACGGACGGCGACGTGCGCCCCGGCCTGGACGGGAATAACCTGACGAGCACCTTCACCATCCCGCGCGTGACGGGCAACATCACCACGAGCACGGCGTTGACCAATCTCACGCTGCCGGGCTACCAGGTCAGCCCCCTGTTCGGGTCTCTGCGGCTCAACGTCTCGCTGCTGCAGGACGGCGTGGACCTCGGCCTAGTTAGCACGGTTGGCGACGTCCAGCCCTACTATGTGCGGGACAAGCCAACCAGCGCCTACTTCTACGGGCGGATGGCGGATAACAGCTTTGTCCAGGACAGTGGGACTTACAGGTTCCAGCTGCGCCTGCTCAGGGTGACGGGTAACCCCGATGTCGAGGCGGACTGGGACCAGGTGGCGACCGAGCCTTTCACGCTGATCTTCTCTGATGTGGCTGCGAACTCATCGGCTGTGGCTGCCCGAGAGAAGCGGAACAGATCACCTGGTGGCGGAAAGTACTTCCCTCTCTGAGCGGAGGGGATGCCGCGACTGTCCGTTGCGAAAGACGCAATCTCAGGGCATGGAGTACAAGCTCCATGTGATAGTATATTATCTTCTGTAGTCGCGTAGCAGATTCTGAAACTTTTTTTAGTGGACTCCAAGAGACATCGCTTACTCCTAGAACGATTTCAAACGATGGGGAAGCCTGCGTGAAGAGAAAGTAGTATGTTGACCCTCCTGAGACAGTTTCCACTAGATACCTGGGCATTCAAAGTGCGCCTAAGATATCCTTGATGTGTAGAAGAGGCACCCCAGCATGTGACAGCATAGTCCCTAAATCTGGAAAGAACGTGGTGGTGCGTCGAGCAATTGTTACACCCAGGTAAATCGAGAACGAGGCAGCTCGTAACAAATAAAAGCCCACCGAGGCGGATATTCCCACGCGGTAAGCCATGCGGATAGAAAAGTATGTCACGATTCCGAGCGTGGCGTATCAGAAAGAGTAATCTTGACTGGATTCCTACAGGGTGACCTGGAAAAGATTATCCATGCTGATATTACCCCCATAGGCAATGTGACGCTACTAGTATTCTAACCCATCACAACTTCTAATTTATCCTTTTTTAATCAAACTTATATCATTATAGTGAATTCAGGATATAATGCTATAGAAAAGTTACTTTTTTTCTTTAAATTCTGTTTTAAAAAGTTGGTATTGTTATTATGGTACGCATAGATCAGATGGGAGAGTTAAGGGACCCTTTGCCAACGCCGCAGAGGTCACGAATTAGGCTTCTTTTTCAGGAAACCCTGTATATTACTTGCAATGGAGCAATGGATTCTCTGTAGCAACATAGTATTGGTAGGCCTTGGTTCATGACAGAAGAAAACAGACAACGTGCTCTTCTCGGTTTGATATTCCATGCTCGAAGCGATTCGCTAGCCGAGGCTGGATAAATTGTCTTCGGCCAAACGACATCATTTCCTTCTTATGTACCTAAGTCCTTCGCATATCTGGACATGAAGTCACAAAGCCTCTGTTGAGACCGATCTGAATTTTGTGACGCCATAGATTCACGCGCACCCGCCTCGTATTAACTCGTCAACGGGAATCCCAATTACCCGTCTCGTATCTTGTATCCGATATTACCGCTTTGCGTTCAGATACGTTGGCTCCACTGCTGACCGATCCCACAGGCCTGGGGGCTGCTGACGTTGCGGCGCCTGCTGTATTAGCCACAGCATCTTCGCCAATCCAGGTACCTGCGCACCGGCTCGGCTGTGTGCTCACATTTGCAGAACTGAAAAGTACACTGCCTTTACGCTTCTAAAGTCTGTGGAGTCAGCTGTACCTTCGATTGTATTTTTCCCACAACAGGCGCAAACTGTCAGACACGCACTTCATGAACATTCAGCGAGTACTGTACGGAGTTCCTATTGGCAGCCAGTCTCACTAATTTGCTGAAATTTAGGCTGGCAACTCTTTTGACTGTACCATCATCTGCCCACACAAGGCCATCCTGAAGAGGTCCACATTTCCGTGGCGGCCGAGTTGTTAGGATTGCACCTGGAAAACGGTAAGCGGTGATAACAATGATGTATTTGCTGGACCCAACGTTGAAGGATGCGTGAGACGTGGCCAAGGCGGACACAGACGGGAACGCAGGAGCGGTGGAGGAGTGATTAACAAGTTGGGGAAACAGGATCGGGAGAAGATGCACTCAGGAAGAGGGGAAGTTGCGTAAGTATTTGCTAGCACAGGTGATGATGGCGAAGGATAAGCCGCCAGAGGCAGGTTTTGACGTTACACAAGCCCCAGGGAGAGCGGCACCGGTGAGATGCATGCAGAAGATGTGGTGTTTCTCTGTGCGGTCAGTCAGTCATAATTACGTGCTGTCAGTCGTCAGTTTTTAGTTGTCAGTTGTCAGTCGCAAGGCAGTGCAGGGAAAAGTAGGGCAAGGGGGTTGCGATCCGACATACAGGCGCAGTTATGATGGCCGTGATGTCGATCATCAGGAGATTCCACACAAGTGGCAAGGAGGAAGGTGAGGTCGAGGCCGAGGTTGTTGAGTCCAGGGTCCATCCGCGCCTGGGCATAGTGACTTGTACTGTTAATCACCACAGCATTACCGCTTCAGGAAGCAAGCTAGCGGACAGGTCCCTGCATTGGCTTCGCGGTGAGGCAAGCGGTCTAGACCGGTCCGGGCCAACAGAGGCCAACCGACGGTTGGTAGGCTGGCCCCTGCCCCGTCGGAGATGGCTCCGACACTGACCATTATGACCATTGTTATGGAACCTAAAGCCCGGAACACGGTAGCCAGTCTACATGTTCGGCAGGTAGCATTCCCCATCCGGCACCCAATTCGAGATGAACGGGCGTGGAAACGTCGATATAGGTACCTCGTCTCGCCCTTTGGCCACAGCAAGCTACTTGCTCGCGTGCGTGCTCAGGTGTGTGGGTGAGTGCCACCTGCGCAGACCGGGCCGTGTTTTGTAGGCCGGCTGGAGCAAAATCCCATGGATGCCTCTGTCTGTCTCTGTCTGTCTGTCTCCTTGCCACAGGCCCTGGAAGTCTAGACCCCATCCCGGCCAACCCGCCAGTCTGCCTGCCTCCTCGATAGCCCGGCACGCCTGGCAGTATATCCTGATCTGGCTTGCCTGATAGACTACCAACGGTCCAACACCGTTCGTGTCTGCATCTTGAGACCAGCTTACCTTCCAGTGGACCCGATGGGATGGAGAAGTCCCATCAACGTTTCGACAGAAATCATGTCTCCGGCACCCCGTGTCTACCTGCCTGCCACCCACCCGTTTTATATCTGCTGTGGCATGTCACACCTTGTCATCTATATTAGACCCCGTCCTCCCTCTCCCCCCCACGGCTTGCATGGCGCCGGGCGGCTTCGGCAGTATGCACCAGAACAAATCTGTGGTCTAACGCCCGGCCGAACCGTCACCGGGTCGGATCGATTGCCATGATCGGTCACCAGCCATGCCGCCAGACCACGTTCCTATACAGCCTGCCTCCCGCCCACCACCACCGAATCCCCCAACTGCATTGGCCTCGTCCTCATCATCTAAAACGTCGTCCTCCCTCCCGCCCCGACGGCCTACCGTCCTAGCAGCCTGTGAGGCTTGCCGTCTCAAGAAGGTCAAGGTGAGCCTCCGACAAGACGGCCTGCACGAGGGGGTCCAATTCCTTGCATCTGGGCACTGCCCACACAAGGCACTGAATCCATCCCGGAACCATCGCACCGCCTCTGGCGCCTCCCCTTCACACCCTTCCCCTTTCTCTTAACCTCGCTCGCACCGAAAATCATCGTCACTCTCACTCTCACTCCTGGTTTTGCCTCCCTAACGCGACTTCCAGTGTGACGGCCGCCGTCCCAGATGCGGCCGCTGCGAGCGCCTTCTGCCCAATGGAACATGTGAATACCGGGCAAATGAGGGCGAAACCCGCGCCGTCGCCCTCAAGAGGCGCGGCAAGACAGCCGAGGAGGAACTGGCCCAGATGCATCAGCTCTTTGATTTCATTCACAACAGAACAGAGGCCGACGCGTGGGAGATATTCAAGCGAATAAGGCTGTCCAAGGACCCTCTCGCTGTTCTGCAGTCTGTGAGGGATGCTGATCTTGTCCTGCCAAACCCCTCCCTCCTTGCCGCCGCCAGTGACTTGAATGACCCAAGGATACGCAAGCTCGACGACAACGCCCGGGACAAGAGCCCGTTCCATGTTCCGGCCAGGCCTTGGACGGCCGTTGCTGGTGATGGCCTGGTCTCTGAACTTGTCTGCGGTCTCTTCGCGTGGGATGCGTACCCTTTCCCATTCTTCCATCCCAACGCCTTCCTGGCCGACATGCGGCGTATGGATCCTAGTACCGCCCAGTATTGCTCTCCCTTCCTCGTCAACGCCATTTGTGCCTTTAGAGCGGTAAGGGCCAGCTGTCCCCGATCTGTCTTATGCTGTAGAAATACCAGCTTCGTTGTGCCCTTGACTGACCAAACGGTGTCGGTAGTTTATTTCCAACAATGCCCGCTCCATTGGTACTATTCTACGTTGTAACATGTCACAACGCTTCATGGACGAGGCAAAGAAGTTGTTCGAGCTCGAGTGCGGCCGTGCGAGCCTAAACACTGTCTTTGGCCTCTATATGCTCTTTTTTGTGTCAGCCATGATGGGAAAAGACCGGGCCGGCTTGATGTATCGCTACATGGTCTGTCCTCTACCCCAAGAGATATATACACCCTCTCATCCACCTACCTGCTGACCAGTCCAAAGGCACAGCACATGCTCAAGCAGTTGCGTCTGGATAGACGATTCGATAAGCTAGACGAGGGAAGACCAGATCACGCTTTGGAGAGGGATGTGATTTCGAGATCACTGTGGGGTGTCTGCATAACCGAGAGGTAAGTATCACATTCCACCAGGTTGTTCACCCCTGCCCAACGGCCTGTTCTGAATTGCGACTTGGAACCCCGCAGCATAATCAGCTTTGTCTACCTGCAGCCGTCTTTGCTGCCCCCTCCCACCGTGCCGCGACCTTTCCCAGGAATCACCGAAATGCACAGCCAAGGTTATAATTTCAACAACATCGACGTCCTAGGCAGGGCCTTTGACACACTGGTCTCACACCCACCGCCGCTGGTACCCGCTTCTTTCGACGTACAGTGCCATCTTGCGGAGATGCTCTACGATATCATGGAATACAACCAACAGGTTCTGGCCCGGGACGAAATCGGAAGTCCGGACGACGTGCGCCAACGAAGGGCTGGATATGTGAGACTCATGACTTGGAGCGAGTCTTTGCCTCCGGCTCTTCGAGTTGAAAATCTGTCGCCGCAGACTTCCTACGTCAGGTACCTACTCTTGCATCCACCCAGTGTTGCTTTCTTATGTGGCCGAATCCATCCCTGACATGAACACAACCAAGACTCTTCATCAACGAGGTAGCCTACGGAATAGTACGTCCGCTTCCCCACGATGCCCGCTTTGGCGACCGAGGCACCGTCACAGACGTGCTTCTCAAGCACTGCAAGGACGATCTCGAAGTATCGGAAACGTACACCAGGTTTTGGGATCCCGAACTCTCGGGCTACTTTTCAAACGGGCTTTACAACACCATCATGACTCTCGCGTCGCTGCTCCACGAGCCGCGGTCACACGACCTCTTCGCACGCGCCTGTGGCCTAGAAAGAAGGGTTGCGCGTCATTTCCCACTTGTTCGATTCATTTTAAAGGGCATCCACGCACTTGTGCTAAGCCTAGGACAGGAGATACCACCTGCTGCCAAGTGGTGCTTCGAGAACCTGGAGTTCAATGTGGACGATTTGAAGGACGTCCCAGTGTCGTATGCCTTACCGCTTCACGAGCACATGCGCAAATCCCTCTTGACGAACGGCGAAGATAGTGATGGAGTTGAAGACAGGGAGATGAGTGTCCAGATGGGAGCACTGATTTCGAGGTGGAACGGCATGTCGATGTGATAGTACCTAGGTAATCAGGTGAATTCTGAGTGGCTCAACCGAGGTAGAAACACCATCATGCATTAGAAAGCAGTACAGATCCCGAAGGGGCCTCGACACATACTTTGCGTCGGATCGGTGACGAGTCCACACACAAATTTATCTCTAAGTCTAGTTCTAGGTCTTGTTCTACTCTATATATCATCTAAAGGCCTGTATGATAGACCTGCTCATCTCCTCTATAAAAAAGCAATGTAGCTGAAGGATAGGGAAATACTTGCAAAGACCTGTACGTACTTTGATAGCGACTATAATTTCGCCCGCGCCCTGAATTCCTCATTTTGCTTTGCAAGAGGCTCTGCTTCCTTTCCGGCCTGGCGCTTGCCCTGGACGTCATCCGGCCGCCCAAGTTGCTCCGACTTCTTTGGGGCGCTGTGATACCCTCCCTTCTCGTTGTCCGAATTCGTGACCCTCCCCTCGGCATCCCCTTGTGATTCCAAGCTCCATCAACTTCAGGAAGGCGCTCTTGAAGTCCTCGAAGAAGACATCCTTATCCTTCGCATAGACCTTGACCCACTTCAGAAACTCTGGGTCCTTGACGAGCGCCATGTCTGTCGGCAGCATCATCAGCTCGTCCTCGGTGATGGGGTCGACCGCGGCGAACTGCACGATGCCGGACTCGAGCTTCTTCTCCTTCCACTCCTCGCTCACCAGCAGCCGGAAGTACTGGTTCGAGAATCTGGTCGGGTTGTTGACCCACTTGCCCTCGAAGCCCGAGTTGGCGGCGTGGCACCGCCCCAGGTTGTGCGCGCCGCTCAGCGCGACGATCTCCTGGTCGCTGAACCCCATGCGGTAGAATATCGCCCTGATATGGTCCGACCCGAGGGCGCCGTCGGGAAGCCTCCCTCGCGGCGGGAGCTTCGAGTCGTCGACATAGTCGGTGCGTCCGGGGTACCACGGTATGTCCGGGCCGCCCATGGCCTTGATCGCCGTTACGCCTGCTAGTGTCCAGAGGTCTGCATATGTGATCCACGGGTGCTGGCGCTTGACAGTCTCGAGGAAGAGGCGCGCGTGCTGCAGGCCCGCGTTTGCTGGGTCGCCCCCCTCGGCCTCGTAGCGCATGCCGGCGCCGTTGGAGCCTCCTGTGTCGGTCTCGGCGTCGTACGTCCCTGCTGAGTGCCAGGCCAAACGCACGATTACGGGTCCCGCCGAGCCATCGTCGTACTCAGGCTGCTTTAGGAGGTTGATTATAGACTTGCGGACGGCCTCCAAGTCCCCGGGTTGGGACTGAGGCTGAGTCGATGCACTCATCTCGGGCCAAGGCGACGTTGCGGTGACTGGTCGGTGTCTATGATCTAAAGGGATCTATTGTCTAGTAATCTAGAAATTGGAGCAAAACCAGCAGGTCCAAAACAAACAAAGGAATGAGATCTATGAGTTTAGGAACAAAACGAGTGTTCAACGTCCAGGCTGCAAGACAGGTTGTTAAGGAGGGAATGATGCGATAAAGAACGGCCCGGAACGGCGAGGACCAACCTCGGCTCTCGATGCCCCGGGTCCACTCACTGGTGGACCTGTCAGGCGCCCGATTACTGGCGTCATGGAGATTGGATTGTTGAAACAAAATTCATGTTGGCCACGTGAATCGACTTCGTCGTGGGACAAATTTGGAATGAGTCCCTGGCCCCAGCGTTAGCATGTGAAAAATCTCAATGACGCTATGAGGTCAACGCTCTCAATGAGGCTGAAATACGCGCCAAAAGGTTCCGTCAAATTCCGCCACGACGGAATTAATGAATTTTCAAATTTTGCATGTGGGAAGGGAAGTCTTGCACCCGGGATTTGGCTTGCTTTGCCAGCAGACGGTATCTTCATTCTACCTCGGGACATCCTGCTCCGGGCCGCCCTGTCAGCCTTGCATATTTTCACATGCAACTCCAACAACACCTGCACCTGTAGACAGCAGGTTTACTGCGTTTACTTTGGAAAAGCCGACCAATACTTGAGGGTTGGAACTTGTGAGGGCCTTGGGGTGATTTTTATTTGCATAGCTAATGATCTGATGGTTTTTTTTCTCTCCGATCATTCTTGCAGTACCTCGGTCCTGTCGTAACACTGAGTCGGAGACACATTGGTCATATGGACCCGCTCGTCCGGCTTCGCATCAGCGACCGCTCATGAAAGTCCTGTAAAGACCTCGTTCAAAATTAAGACTCCGATCACACAAGATGCTTGTTTGTTATCAGCCCGGAAAAACGTGGACACAGTAATATAAGTATGTCCAAGGGTCGTTGAGAATCAGCCCATTGCAGTCCTGTCCACCTGACATGCACATGAGTTTGTGTGTGCTTGCTCGAGCACACCAAGATCAGAGACTTGTGCGGAATCAAGGTACTAGAGACACGGTCTTCATGCTTTACAGAACAGGCTCGCACTGGCGTGGATAATTACATATTCACACAGACCGCCACGTTATGCTGATGGAACGGCAGTCAAAGCGTTGCCGTCGCTGCAGTAGTTTCTCCAATTTCTCGATGGTGTGAGAGGCATAAAGCTCAACTACTTTTGATTAGTACCATATAGAATTTCGTCGGATTTTATACTTTGATACAATATGCCAAATACTGTGACATACTGACGCATCGCCATCTATCAGGCATCCTCTCGTCTCGGGCTAATATCATGGCATTAAGAGCGCATTGCGGTTCGACATGAGGAACGGTAACTTCCAAAGCAACACGAATGGGCATGATGAAAAACAAGCAAGACCCAGATTTGGAAATAAGTTGCAACTGACAGATCACACCAACAAGCAGAGCATCTCAGCACCAGGCAATTAGAGATACGCTATAGTGCGAGGCCAGCGAAACCTGGCTGCATTAATACCTGATCTCCAGGTGACTAGCAGTTGCAATCCTCATACGCTTCCCAAACAACCACAGCGGAATAGTCAAGAGGCTGAAGATGCCCAATAGCATACCAAAGATTCCGAACGGCTCGGCGGGTCCCTTCTCGGCCACCCAGTCGGCCACAAAAAAGGTCCATGCAAATGAAATAACGGATCGGAGAATCGTGACGATGACGAAACAGTCACCCGCAAGGTGCGAGTACGAGTCGATGAGCTTGAAGGATCAGATTAGCCAGGCTCTTCCTCGAGACCCAAAGGACCAAGGAGAGGGAGACCTTGGAGACGGAAGGGCAGTACTCACGTAGTTGAAATCGATGGATGGCACCTGCATCAGACCAAACGACAGCATCGCATACCCGACCTCCAGCCCGACCCAGACCTTTGGCCCCGGGTTCTGCGCGCAGAACCCGAACACCAACAGGCCGCTTGTGGCGATGAACAGCCCCGGGAAGCTGGTCGGCAACCTGCTCTCCGGCTCGGCGAAGCCGTGGCCCTCGTGCTTGGCCTGGCCGAGCAGCCTCGCGTCCGAGGTGAGGTAAGTGAATCCCGCGCCGATGAGTGCTCCAATTATGGGGCCGACGTTGATCAAACCGGCGTTTGCGCCCCAGAGGTCTATACAACCAATGTCAGTTAGCTAGTTCCGTCTGAGTGTGTAATGAAGCATCTCTAGAAATTCTTTAAAAGCCGGAGAGAAAGCTACCAAAGTTCTCGCCTCACAGTGTATCCTCGATAAAGCCTTGAAGACATTTTCAAGACTAATAGTGCAAGGGCTTTGGATATAGAAAGTTACTCACAAGGCGGCTGGGAGACGAGCTGAGCTCCTATGGTTGAGATGGTCACGATTCCACCAACAAGGCCGGCATAATGAAGCATGACGACCCAGGTCCCGGGAAGTGCCAGTGTCTTCCAGGGTTGGACGAAACACGACAGGATGTTGCCCCCCCGGACAGGTCCGAAGCCAAGAGACCGAACAAAGGTATAGGGCCTGTACTCCGAGCTTGAGGTGTTGGTCTGCGGGTAGCTCTCAACATGCAGGGTCTCTCCGACCTTGGACGTGTCCTGCTGCGTGCGGGAGGACTGCGGCGACAAGGCGTTGCCCCTGGAGTAAAGCGTCTCCGGGACGAAGAGGAGGGTACCTACGAAGCACGCCGCGGACAGTGCGGTGCTCACCCAGAACACGTATGCCCATCCGTGATGGAAGGCGATGTAACTGCCGGTGATACCGCCGATGATGGAGCCCAGGCTGAGGAACGTCGTGTATACGGCCATGGCCCTACCCCGCGAGTCCAAGAAGAAGACTTCCCCGATCAGGACCGGGGCTGTCGTTTCCGATGGGCCAGCCCCGGTCCCCTGAAACACCCTCGAAGCAAGGAGAGAGCTGAAAGACGGCGCGAGGCCGCCCCACATGGAGGCTAGTGTCATGAGGAGTGTAGCGAGGAGCAGGACAGGTCGTCTGCCAATGATGTTTGACAGTGGGACCCAGAAGATGTTTGAGGCGCCCATCATGAGGACCGAAACAGCAATGAGCTGGGTAAGCTGGGAGAAGGGCTGCGGGTCTGTGGGGAAGTTCATGTTGTAGGCTTGCAAGGCTGGCGCCAGTCCTGAACTCGCAAAGTTGCCAATGAAGGCGTAGCTGGAAGCCGTCAACAAGAGGGCGACCTTTCGCCATGATGCCCAGTTGAGGGGGTCGGCTGGGTCCGCAGATGGCCTAGGGAAGCGAACGATCTCATCGCTTGAGGAGTCCGAAGTATCTGGCCCGGTGTGTCCAGCCTCGAGGGCTTTGTCGCGGATGTGATGGTCTGCGAGTTGAGATGGGTTAGAATGGTGTAAGGCTCTGGCACACAACTGGATGAAATTAAAAAGCACTGACCAACAAGGCGGACGGTTCCTGGAGGACATGCGTCCTTGACCTCAGCCTTGGATAAAGAAAAAGCGTACTTCCAGCCCGACATCTTGCTTGTAGGTATACAGACAGGTGGGCTGTATGGGGTGAGTTTTGCACGAGATGGTCAGTTTTCGCCCGGAAACCTTACGATGCAAGCAGAGCAACAACCTCTGAGGGAATCCCGAAGAAGGTTCCTACTGGATATCAATCTTATTACCCCAGATGAGGAATCCGGGGCCCCAGAGTGGGGCCGGTGGGGGACATGGGGTGCGCGCTCTTGTAGTTGCATCGGGACGGCCTGGAATCCATGGGACAGCAAACGCACTAGCGTTGAGATTGGAAAGGCAGAGGCTCCAAGGCCATCAGGTTTTCTACATCAGGCTTAGAAGTGGCGGCCAAGGAAGGGTCATCGAAGTCGAACGGCTTCATCGTCCACTTCAAGTGATACCACACTAAGCACGATGTACTCTCACTCCGGAGTACGGGACAATACCGGCTGAAACTTCGTCCTAATCTCCTGCACGTGTGGTGCTCAAAAGTGGCGTGTTTTAGGCGCTTCAGTCGCATCACACCTGGATAGACAATTCAGATACAGAGAAATAATATATTGGTGGACTTAAATATTGGAATACTGCTCCTAGATATTTTGGACCAGGGAGTTGGAAAGCATCTGCGGAAGAAGCGCCTGTGATTACTCCTCCCCACACAGCATCCGCATTTGCACAGAGCAAGCTATATGCAGACCATCTTTCAACACGACAGCTCGAGTCAAAGCATGATCCCGTGATCGAAGCCGTGAGAGGAGCGGGGCCGACGTCCACCTTCATCAAGCCTCCCGCTGGTGCTGGGCATGTGACCCCCGGGAAACCCGCGGGGTGAGGGGGTGCAGGGGGGCCAAAACTCGCGTCGATCCAGCTAACGACCACATAGCACAGGGGCTAAACAACCACCACGATGATGACCAGACGACTAAAACCACTACATTGGCCGGATATGCCGCAGCGAAGCCAACAATCACACATCATCGTTGGGAGAACATTTGTTTCAGAAGAAGCTGAGTCTTATAAAAGAAGTCTATTTAGGGATTACGAACTCGGTAGTTCCGAAGTATGACATTTTCAACGTGGCAAAGGCTATGAAAATACACCAGACAGGTATTGTATGCAATGTCTTAGATGAAGACAATCAGACCCAGGCACACGGCAGACACCATGGACAGGACCAGACCAGGAGCAGCAGAGCCGATGGCACCGCTCTCGGACGAGCTGCCGCTGCTGCTTCCGCTTGAACCGCCGGAGGAGGAGGACGAGCCGTTGCCGGTGGAGGCGACAACAACGCCGTCCATGGTGATGTTGGACTCGGAGTAGGAGTCACCACCGTAGTGCGAGGTGACGGCGCTCTTGGACAGGCCGGGGCCGGTGCCGGCACCGTTGTCCATGAACTCCTCGATGCCGGAGGGAGGAGCGGGGATCAGCTCGTCGGTGACCTCCCAGTTGTCGGACGCGGCAGGGCACTCGGCAGCGGTGGAGTCGGAGTCGAACTCGCCGTCGCCAGAGGGGTTGGGGGTGTTCTTGAAGGCGGTGGCCAGCTCCTCGAAGTCCTTGTTGGGGGTGATGTTGCCGTTCTTGATCTCGACGATACCGTATCCGTTGGGCTCGACCGAGTACTCGTAGGCGATGCCGCCGGAGAAGACAGTGGTCATGTTGGTGGAGTACAGCGCCTCGACCTCGCCCCAGGCACGCTCATCCTCGATGCAGCCGTACTCGGACAGGAACATGGGGATGCCGTAGCCGCTGTACTTCTCGACCTTGGCCTTCCAGCCGGACTTGACGAAGTCCGAGGGGTCGCACCAGGAGTAGTCGTTGAAGGCGAAGAAGTCGGCGCGGGAGCTGTCGTCTCCGCAGTCGAAGTACTCGAGCTGCTCGACGATGTTCTCGGAGACATCGGCGGACGAGTAGCCGGTGGGGATGGTGCGGTAGCCGCGGGCGTTGATGTAGTTCTTGATGTCACGGGTGACGGCGCGGATGTAGGGGGCGGTGCCGGTCGTCTTCTTGTCGTTGATGACCTCGTTACCGCTGAAGAAGAGCAGGGTGTTGGAGTAGTTGGCGAAGGCGTCGACAGTCGCGAAGACGGACTGCAGGTACTTCTCGTTGTACGACTGGTAGGGATCAGCACGGTTGAGCGAGAACTTGGGCGAGTTCACGTCCAGGGCGAGGTAGATGCCCGCGTCGGCGAGGAGCTTCATGCCCTCATCGTGGTTCTCCGAGTTGTCGACGGTGTACACACGGATGGTGTTGATGCCGAGGTCCTTGAAGTTCTCGACGTCCCTCTTGAGACTCGTGATGTCAATCAAGGGGTCAGCGGCGTCAGCAGCGCCACCTGGCTGGTAAGCCACGCCACGGATGTAGAAACGCTCATCACCGGCCCAGAATGCTGCATGAGGTGTCAGCCATGATGCTCCCGCCTTCACTTCTGTGTCTTGCTTATGAGGCTATCTTACCATTTCCCTTGACGGTGACCTCTGGCGTGCTGCTGCTGCCAGACTGTCTGGGCTGGAGGGGGCCGGTGCGAGTTGCAACGGCAGTGCTCACGAGGAGCAGAACGGACGATACAGACTTCATGTTGTTGAGTTTGAATTTAAGGAACTACCCAGTCGGGAACGAGTGACGATGAATAGTGTTGGAAAAGGTGGAAACGCGGACACAAGCAAGCCTTCTTGCTCTCAGTCTAACCGCCGGCGGAACAAAGTGGAATGTTGGCTTTGAGGGTTGTACAGCGGAAAACCGGAAGGCTCGATGAAAGAAATCCCACGGCAAGGGATGATATACTTTTCCCTCCATTGAGTCAGGAGACGCGCCGCGCTCTCTGGTAAAATTAGAATGTAATGACGGGCCATCCTTTGGCTGCCGCCGGTCTGCTAGCCAAGAGACTGTCGACTAGGTCAGGTCTTGGCCTTAGGAAATTTGGCGCCGGGAAAGGATGATCAGGGTGCCAAGGACCCACTGCCCAGCCAAATTCCAAGCAGCCAAGGCTCTTGGTCCATCAAATCGCCCCAGTTACCAACGAACCACAACTCGCCTGCACTCGGCTGTCTCGTGTTGTGACAGTGCCCCTGGAGGACTGGGCCGAGGGCAATCTGATCAATTCCAGCGAACTCAATACTTAGGGGCTGCAATGGCGTTACGAGTTGATGGGGAAAAGGAGGCGCAGGTCCATCGTGATTCCTCTCCACTACGTCAATCCCTCTGGGCGTCTTGATTCGCTGCCATTGCTCAGAGATCCAACATGCACACGGGCAGATCGCTGCGGAGATAATAACTCAATGTTAGAGTTATGTTGGCATCGTACCTCACATTCCAGCGAAAAAACAAGCCATATATAATAAGCACTTGAGTCGGCCCCCTGGGGCTCCGACTTTGCGCGACCGCTGATCGAAATCATTTTCTATCACGGCACCTCATGCACGTCGCCTTATGTTTCCATCGCCTGCATCTCACACCACCGCGTTCGCCATAGAACTGGCCAGGCCAGTCGTCTGCCGAAGGCCAGAAGCGTAGACGGCCCCGTGTCGAGGATAACGGAAACGACCCAAGCCGTAGTCTCTGAATCAACGTCGGAACCACAGCACATCGGCACCAGACAATTCGCACGATCTGAGATCCGCAGCAGTCAGGAGGCCTTTCTGGGCACTCCGGTTCGACGCACACTGATACCATTACGTCTGCCCAGGATTTCCTTAAAACCGCCCCCTATTCATTTTGCCGGGGCGGGACCAGCTAGTCGTTACAAAGCCAGTCTTGACCCTGAATGCTGCTTTCGGGGGTCATCGTGCGCTCCGATATTGGTCAGATTATTTGACGATCCCATTCTATCGGGAGGTCTCTTTCTCCTGAGGCAAGGCTCGGGATCTGGAGGTCAACTTACCGACCGTACTTGTACAGGCCAAGCCGTTGGATCGGTAAAGTGCTTCCAGCCAGGTCTGTTAACAAAGCAGGATTCTGAGGTATCCCACGAGCTTCCCAAGCAGGTAGGAAGTATGGGGTTTCTCCATGCATCCTTGGTCTCCATTCATACGCGTATTCGAGAAGGCGGTGAGTTTCTACAACGGCCACCATGAACTCGGGATGGACGCTACCCAAAGCCTGAGAGCGAGATTCGTCGAAATTGGCGCTGCGGGTCCAATTTAGTTAGAGCTTCAACGTATACTACCATTTAGATCTTGCCGCCACTTGACGTTACAACAACTGTTAAGAATACTCGGCTCTTATAGAGAATAGTGCTCTAGACGCACAAATAGTCAACTAGTTGCCGTGTCAATAGTTGGCGCAAGGCTGAGACGTGGAAATTCATTGCGCTAGGCGGAAGCCTAATCCCCCCCCCCCCCCCCCGAGATAGCTCGATATAATAATGGTACTCTGAGCGGCATCAGATTCAATAGTCTGGCTGAGTTATCCACCCCACGAAATATTCATCCTTGTCCCCAGCTCGACCACCTCCCTGGGACTTTCTAAATTCAAAGGTCAGGGTACGGATTCATGTCACAGAAGAGCGGCGAATAGTCTGTGTGCGGCTCACGGGACTATCCGAACGCCTCAACTATAATCAAGATAACGCCGTCTAGCTTTTGTACATGCACCAAATGAACTTTGGCCGGCGCCATCGAGGCAAAGCTCTCCTCGATAGCTGGGCGGTGTCCTGCCAGGCCAAGCCCGGCGTTTGGCGTCGAATTTCCGGAGCGAGTCATTGTGGATACCAAAACCAAGCAGTCCCAGCTTATAATTAGAAGACTATCAACACGCGGCAGAAAGACTTGGTTCATAAGAAAGTATTGAATGGATCGATGGTCTTGATATATGCGAATGACTTTTAACAAACAAAGCTCAGTGTCGGGTTCTACATGCCGCGAATGAAACCAACGTCTATGATAAAACGTCCTACTACACGGTACAGCCCTCGCCAGAATTCATGCAAACGTGAATTCCAGATTGGCAGGGGGACCAAGGGAGGAGACCAGTTGACGGCTGTGCGGGCAACAGGCGCAGTCCAATATTTACAGATGCCCAAGCCGACACTACAAATGTGACTCGGGTAACGTGAGAGAAAAGCACACAACTCCCGGCAAGCGCTGAACATGGAAGCATATGCAAATCACATCGTGTGACGCTATTTTCATGAAAATACATCAAGGGCAATACCCTCGCTCAAACGAAGGCTGCCTCTGCCCGGCGCCAGCTACCGAAACACCGTCCATCTTCAGCGACTCGGGCGTGCGGCTCTTGTCGCCCAGCTCGACCTCGCTCTCGTTCTGGACCTGCGTGCCGGCCTTGGTGGTGAACAGCGACCAGTTGGTGCTCTTCTTTCCGGACAAACCGCTGCGCGCCCAGCGGGACGAACCCCCCGACGCGTAGTCGGACCGCTTGACGGCGGTGGATCCGGCCAACTTCGATCGCCTGCGGGTGAGTATGGTCCGGATGCCGGGCAGGCTGGTGACGATCATGGAGACGCCGCACTCGAGCCCGGACCATATCAGCGGGCCGACATAGTCCCTCGACGGGTTGTAAGTGCTCGCAAATTTGACGATGAAGCCGAGGCGGATGCAGCTGGTGAGCAGGATGAAAAAGCCCAGGCTGAACATGATGCCGATGTCGATGCGCTGCCGCAGGCCCGTGTTCAGGTTCCAGAGCAGGGGCAGCGGCATGATGAGGATGACGAGGTCCTGCGTGATGCTGAACGCGGCGGCCGTGTACGTCAGGGCGTTCACGTTGAGGCACCAGTACGGGCCAAAGGTGCCCAGCCAACCCTCCCACACGAACGCCACCGGCACGCATTGGAATATCTGCAGGAAGATGAAGACGATCCCGCTAAGGCCCACCCAGCCCATCACGGCGTAGCAGGTCCACCGGAACTTCTTCTGTGGGAAGATGCGCAGATAGAAGAACAGGATGGAGATCTTGGTCAGGACGAGCACGGTGAGGTAGAACGACTCGTCAATGTAAAATAGCTTCAGGGCGTATGAGAAGACCTCTGGCTCGACCAGCCAGACGTCCACGCCGAATCCTAGTTGGCCAGCTGTGAGGATGAAGTCAGCTCTGATTACATTTTGCGCAACAACAATGTGTGCGTATGTGCTCTGGTGAAGGGGGGTTGGGCGGACGAACAGATATGGCCCACGACTTCGAAGACGATGAATATCGGCAGACATGCAACCATGATCCAGTCATCGATCTCGTAGCCGGACGTGTACCTCCATCGGCTGAACAGCCGTAGGAGCACCGCCGGGATCCCCAGCAACTCGATGGCAAGGGGGGCCATCAGCTCCGCCTTCTTCGACCGCAAGGGAGTATTGCACGCCTCGGCCTGGACCCTGCCGACCGTGAGTATTTCGGACACGCTGCAGTCATCCTCCAGGCAACTCTGGGTCACGTCTTTGAGCGGCTGATTTGTACATATGCACGTGGCATTGCTGAATGTTTTACATGCTGATGCGGGTATATTTGACAGGACGCATTTTTGCTGTGTATGAGCCAGTCAGCGGTGAGATCTCTTGAAACTTCGATGAAGGGACTGGTGGGAACTAACAGCGCACTCTGGAATGTGGGCAAATGCAGCGAGGAATGCGGTCTGATTCGTCTGCGCCCAGCACGTCCAGAAGAGTGTGGTGAGGGACACGCCCAGTATCAGTCTGAGCCTCATTTTCTGATATTTCCTCCGGCTCGAGGGTCTGGTGAACAGCTCAGAGCCCAAAGTGATACAACGTATCGAGTCACAGACTCGAGATCGTCGAGAAAGAGAGATGTAATGATGACTGGATGACGGGGCCCCAGCAGGCCCAGAGCACAATAAAGAGTGCGCTATCTCGCGTGTTTAAGTGATCGGCTCCCCCCCCCCCCTTTGGAGATTCGGCACGCTGCATGGGACCTGCAGCTGCGATATTCTAGCGTACCAGAAGCCGGAAGCCCCTCCAGATGCACCATCGCCAAGACGGGAGTAGACGAGCACCATCACGTTGCGTTCGTATTGGCGCCCTCGGGGTGCGATCGAGTCTAGCGCGCCATGTCAAAAGACGGCTCGCCGGACTAGAGGTTGTGCTCAGACGTTCAAATTAGGCTTTTTGCCAAAATGTCGATGCCATATGGGATCGACGAGGATCCATCCAGTATAGCTCTGCTCACGGATCGCCGCTCACATGTCGCAGCGGGGGACGGCGCCACATTTGGCCTTTTTCTAGGTCGCACTGCCCGATGCGCATGGAACACTCAAGTTGTCCGGAAATCTTCTTTTCAACCGTTCTAGCGAGGTTGTGTGTTTCTTCTGCTTCTTTCTTTCAAGAGGGGTTGGAGCTGACGAGAGTCATGACGAGCTTTATATTGGCGGTACAAATTGCAGGTTTGAGGTTGCGAGCGGAAAAGCAAAGGGTATAATTGATACGCTCGAACGCCGTCCCCTACATGTAGAAGTGTCTACTCTGCGCATGCTTCTTAGCCGATCCAGGCGCCGTGTAATCTATATCGCCAAAGCTCTCCAAATCCTTCTCGAACCTAGCTTGGATCTTGGTCACTTGCTGTAACTGCTTGAAGTCAAGCTTGACCTTGTCGAACGCCGCCAGGCTCTCTGCTGCCTTGATAACGTTCTTGATTTGCCGGCCGTTCAATTCGTGCTCCGCCAGTGTCTCGTATTCTTTCTCGGAAATCTCCACCCCACCAGGGACCTTTTTGCAGAAGTTGTGCCAGATCTTGAGGCGTGATGTGACGTCCAGATCTGTGTATCTAATCGGAATGTGGATGCGGCTCTTGAATGCGTCGTCGAATGTCGAGACCCGGTTCGTTGTCAGGAAAAGGATACCAGCGTAGTACTCAAGTACTCGCAAAAACACGCTGACCATTGCGTTCCTGTGCAAATCATGCAAAGCCCGCTGCTCAAGAAACACGTCGGCCTCGTCGATCAGCAAGACCGCTCTCCAGGTGGACGTCATGTCCATGATCTCAGTCAACTGCACGTCGAGCTGCTCGCTCGTAACTCCCAGGTCTCCGGATGAAACCATAAACAGAGGGCGCCGAACATACTCGGCAACACATTCTGCTGTCAATGTTTTCCCGACACCTGGGGGACCGTGAAGGACGCAGACAAGACCCTTGCCCTTGCCCTTGACAATATCATCGAAGCCATCCTGCTTCTTCCCATCGGGAGACTCGCGCCTCTGAGAATGTGTCGATACCAAAGCCTGGACTGTCTTCTTCGTGGACGGGTCCAGGACCAGGTCCTCGAAGCAGCTTGTGTTCCACTCGATCTCGCTCAGGTTGTCAACAGAGAGCTCGAGAAACTTCTTGGCGTTCATGGAATAACCTCTGCACATGGCATTCGCGAGTAGGCAGTCCTCTTCGGTCAACTTGCCCTCCTCGCGATCTTTCCCAAAGCCAACAACCCAGATTGAGTCGTTTGCGTCTAATCTGTGGTAGGTTTTGACGTCAATCATCCTGGAGAAGCTGTTAGCAATCGCTCTGAGCCAATTTCCACTTCGAGGGTGGGAAAGATGCTTACACCCGGCCCGTCGCGTCGAACTTGATGTAGTTGCGTGGGCATTGCGGATCCCTCTTGAGGCCTAATCCGACGTATTGGAGGAAGTGCTGGCCGACGGCGAATTCCTCAAACTTTCTGCCGCGTGCAATCATCGTCTTCTTGATCTCGTCCGCATCCTCAAGCAGGTCCAGAGGCTTTACCTCTTGCTCTCTGATCTCCCTGATGCCGCCGTACTTGGGGATGAACAAATCCAGTCTCCTAACGCCAAGCTTCTCTCCGTCATAGTCGACGAAATTGCTCTTGAGGTTCAGCCCGGGGTTCTCCTCGTCGTCGTCGTCGTACCAGTAGTCAACCACGCGGAAGGCACGGTGCTGCTTCTGAATCTGTGCATACACAATTGTCCCCGGCATGAAAATAGTCCATAGCTTGTCGTAGGCGATGGCCTTGAGATCGCTAGACATGCACTTCTCATAGGCCGCTATCTCCAGCTCAAAGGTTGTCTTGATCCACCCCAGGAGTAGCGTGAGCTGCTCGAGCGACTGGGTGTCTCCGATCTCCTTGAAGCGTGCATTACCAACCTCCTCAAGCTGTTTCCTGTAGTGGAACAGGGAGTGGTAAGGAGCTTCAATCTGCACGTCGTCGACATCGATGGGATCGGCAGGGTAGTTGCCAATCACGTCCTTCAGCAGTTGTCGTCTTAGAAATGTTAGCTACACGTCGTGGGACCCGAGTTGGCTGCATGTCTCCGAATCGAACAGGCTGTACTTACAAGGGCTGGGGGTTGATGTAGAGATAGGTCTCGTCGAGGTCGCCGTCTGAGTCGTAGCGACGAACGACGCAGAAGGCGAACAGCTGCCACCAGTCCTTCTTCTCGCCCTTTTCGATATCCTCTTTCTTTCTCTCGACGAAATAGGGCTGGTCCTCGTCATCGAATTTCCTATCGAGGTGCTTGAACTCTGTTTTCATGGTCTGGTCCTCTGGCTTCTCATCCTTGTTCTTGTCTTTTTGGCCCTTCTCGGACTCATCATTGGAATGCAGGCTGAGTTGGGAGTCATTGGGAAGGCAGAAGATGGTGCGCAATTTTGAGGTTGCACGCCTGGAGAATGATTTGTTAGGGCGCTTACTGACTGTGGCGTCAGCGGCAACAGCGGCCGAGGCCTTCTTGTCGTCAGCCATATCGCTTGAATGAGACGAGGTGCTGCTTGGAGAGGGCATGTGGGTGAGATTTAAGAGGTGGCTTGAATCGACGGGAGCAGTTTATGATGGTTGTGGCTGCTTGGTGCCTTTGTTGGTAATTCAACGTCTTCAGGCTGGGCAGACAAGTCTTGGTGGGATGGACGCCTGGAAGATTCAATCTCACTTGCTCACGAGTGAAAGTACAAGTAGGAAAGATGAGAGCAGCGTGTTGGTCTGTTATAGATCAAGCCAATGCCAATATATACTTAGATTCTTGCCTGCATGAGCTGGGCGGGGCTGGGTGGCCGGCGGTTGGCCTGCTTAAAATGCTGTGCCGCCGAGTTGAGTCAACCGGCGGCGTAGGCGTGTTTGTGGACATGCTAGCAGAGCCGGAGCCAAAGCCATCCATTTCCCCCCGTTTCTGAGGCCAACACGCCCGGACCAGGCCAGGCAGCACTGCCATGACCAAGTGTGCTCTGGCTTGCAGCTCAGCGGTGACGATGAAACCCAGGAGAGCAGAGCACGGCATGCGCATGCACATGGCCTCAGGCTTAGTTGGGTCAGCCGCAAGTGGTGAAAGGTCAAAGAAGCGGGAGTGCCAGGCCGCAGAGCCCCACAGGTGCGGTGCGATTGGCGGTGCAGCCTGCAGAGGTCAAAGACAACGCAGGCAGTACCGATCCTTCGGTGGCCGATCGACTGCTGTCTGCCACCTGCCACCTGCCACCGCGCGCTAACGGGTACTCCGCCACCGTCCCGTCTTACCAACAAGACGAGACCGTCCAGCCCGTCCATAACGTCCACATACGGGGAAGGTGGCTGCCTCATTGACGCGGGTCAAGGTGCTTACATTCCGGAGTGCGATCCACGTCATCATGCCCGTGCTTGTACATGTATGCAGGCAGACCGAAAGGCAGAGGCAGGGGAGGACAACGGAGACGATGCCAGGTGTCAAGCTTTGAGGAGGTGACCTGACTGGAAGTTCGAAGGATCAACTCAAATGCTGATCCGCCCCGTTATTACGGTTTGTAACTGTAGTCTGGTCTGACATTCTGGGTAGTCTCGGGTAGCATTTTACCCAGTCCGTATGCGCGCATAACCGTGGTCTCTCAATTCAGGTACGTAAATGTGTACATACCCAGGCAGCTGCACCTGCCCCTGCATCCGAGAGACAAACGAGCGGAGTAAGGGCAACTCCATCAACCTGCCGCCATCCACCTCACCTCACTCCCTAGACGGCTTCCAGCACTCGGTTCCCTCCACAAGAGGCGCAGGCTGCATCAATTACAAGCAGCACCACTTGTGAATTCAACATGGCATCAGACAGCACTACCAGGCAGTACTTTGAGCACTCTTCTGCCCCCCGGCTCAGCACCGTCGACGTCATCGCAGCATCCCTTAAGAAACAGTACCCCTCGCTTGAGTGCTCAATCATCCACCCATACCTACCTGTCGACCTTCTTGGTTTCGCATACTCCGGGCATGGCACCATCGCTCCGCTCCCTGACGACCGCGCCGCCAACGTCAAGCTCGACCCCTCCCCTCTGCCCTCATCTCTGGCCCTGACTGGCTACGTCCCGCCTGCGCGGCGGGACGGGAGGGGACTGGTGCTTCACGAGATCCTCTTTGACAAGTTCCTCTACAAATGGAATGGCCAGGAGTACATTGTCTATATCGTAGACGCTAAGGAAGGCATCGTCGGCGCCTACCCGCAGGGCCAACTTGTCTTCGTCCTCTCCGTCTCGGAACAGCTCACCCAAGGGCTTAATCCACGCTGCGGGTAAGTGGACAAGCGACCTGCACGATGAGATCTGGGTCTACGACAGCGGCTACTGGCAAAAGAGCAAGGCGCTCTACGACAGTATCCGCAATGCTTCTTGGGACAGTGTTATAATGGACCCGGAGAGGAAGAAGGCTGTCATTGACGATCACATGCGCTTCTTTGACTCGCGACGTGACTACGAGAAGCTCAAGGTGCCCTGGAAGAGGGGTCTTATATACTACGGCCCTCCAGGGAACGGCAAGACAATTAGCATCAAGGCAATGATGAACCAGCTGTATCACCTTAAAGAGCCCATACCGACCTTGTATGTTCGCTCTCTCCAATCGGTCGGTCCAGCGCACCCATACTTGATGCACCGTGTGCATGAACCTAACATCACGCTAGTACATGGGACCTGAATACTCGATAAAGACCATCTATGACAAAGCAAGGTCAATGTCCCCATGTTACCTCATCTTTGAGGATCTAGATACAATCATCACCGACTCCGTCAAAAGCTATTTCTTCAACGAAGTCGACGGTCTGAAATCCAATGACGGCATTTTCATGGTGGGCAGCACAAATCATCTCGATCGCCTTGACCCTGGTATTTCTGTGAGTGATAGTCATGCCCCTTCGCTGAGAACACCGAACCGCTGACAGTTATTGAGCAACGCCCGTCTCGTTTCGACCGGAAATACCTATTCGATAATCCGAACAAGAAGGAGAGGACTATGTACTGCCAGTTCTGGCAAGGAAAACTCAAGGACAACGAGGAAATCGACTTTCCGGACAAGCTTTGCCCAGCTATCGCTGATATCACGCAAGACTTCAGCTTTGCCTACATGCAAGAGGCATTTGTCGCTGCCCTTCTGGCCATCGCGCAGGGCAATAAGGAGAAGGCTGAGGGACTCGGTGACGGATGGGTTGATGTTCTGGAGGACGATGATGGAGACGATGATCTGGACGGCAACGTGTTGTGGAATGAGATCCAGAAACAGGTCGAGATCCTTCGACACGGTCTTGAAAAGGACGAGGGGTCCAGCTCATGAACATCGACAGCATGATGCCTTGGCACGCAAAGTGGTTCATATGTCTTCTAATCCTAGCGTTGATTATCCGTCTCCCTCATTGCCGGTCAGCATTCCTGTCTGACGGTACCTGTGATTGACTGGCTTGGACAACGAACAAGTAGGCTGTTCAATTAGGAACGGACGTCTGGAGAAATATATGTTTTGAATCATGTACCTATGCATGGAAACTTTTGAAGCCGTAGCTTAACGTTTACGCCTCCATTCCATACCTTTCACCCTACTTGCTGTTACTGAGACTACCCCACTCAGTCCAACGAACAAACCAAATATCGTAAAGTACCATCCCCTCCCGACAGCATTAGTGAGTGGATCCAGGATTACAGCCGACGCCGCGCTGAGACCACACCTCATGACCTGGCCGGAAGCGTAGGACGTACTAGAACTGTTCGGAAAGACGTCAACAAGCAGCGCGCTTGCCGTGTGACTGAGCAAGGTGGACGCTGCACAGACAAAGAACTGCATCACAAGGGGCACAGCCGGATGGACACGACGCATGACCACCCACCCGTACCCGATCACCAAAGCAACTTCGAGGGCAATGAAGTAGGCAATGTGTCTGTATCTCGCGTCTTCTATGGGGAACTCTTTCAAGTCTTCTGCCTTCTTCCTGTCAAGGATGACTCGGATATTCTTCCGCCGTGCAACTTTGGCAAAGTTTCTGTCCACGAGCTTCCCCGCAATAATACCGCCTATCGTCATACCAGCGAGACCTGGCAGGAAGGTCAATCCGATTTGGAAGTCGTTGTAGCGGTATATCTCGTCGTATATCACTGGTATCGCGACTTGGAACGTGTAGTACACCGAGTAGGACGTAGCAACCATCCACAGGATCGCAGCCGCGTCGGGATACAGGATGACCCTCAGGGAATGGACGGCCGCTTTTACGGTCCACTTCGGCCGCGCTTGTGGCGTTGTGGGAACCGATTTGTCTCTGGACTGCTTCTTAGCTTGCTTTGATTTGACGCGGCCAAGTTTCCACATTTTCGAGAGCCCATGAGCCGGGCTGGACACATCGCCGACGATCGACCTCGCCGTCTCGGGCAGCGTGAAACCGGCGAGGAAGGAAGCAGACGACCGCGACGGCGAGGAGGGCCAGAAAAACCCACACGTAGGCCCCGGTACTCTGCGCTACAGCCCCGCCGACGAGTGGCCCGATGGCCGAGATCCCGTTGCAGAACGCGAGCATCGGGCCCAACATTTTCCCTCGCTCTGATACCACTGCCACATCGGCCATGACCCCATAGGCGATCACAGGGGTGGCTTTAGTTGTTCACCTTGTACTTGCCTGTTGTACTCTTGAAATAATTCCCGTCTATAGACCCGGGAAAGAAAGAGGGCTTTCATCTCGGTCGCATGTTATTTGCTATTTTGGGTACCGGTCCCGTCTTCACAAAGCTTGTGCAGCCATGGTTTGTAGAGACCATAATGCACAATGACATTCAGTGTTTGGTCAGATTCCATTAAAGACGATCGGCCGTGCATAAGATCAAGCCGCAGTAGCATTTAAGCCAATTCGTGTACTGCCCTTCGTGGATTGACGCAATTCTTCATCCCAAAGTCTCCCTGGTGGAAACTCAACTACCCTCACAATGTGCATCCACACAATTTACTTGTGCGGAATATGCCAGGTTCCTGTTGGGTGTTATACCCAACCATGTCCCCCTCCATTCCAACAGGCACCTAATCACACAGCGAGCTATGGTCAGCCCTACACTATCCGTCCACCAGCCCTCTACAGCTGCCCTAATCAAAATTGCATTGCATCTACTCAGCTGCATTGGGCACTCCAAGAACAGCAAGCAATAGCGGTGCAACAAGGCAAAGCAAAATTGGGCTACACCCCTTTCAAGGAGACAAAGGCTATGTGTGGCGACAATGACGAAGCTTGCAATCTGGCATTAGAACCAGTACAACATAGAAAGCCCAAGACTAAACGCGTCGAGCAAGCCCCGCCAGCTCCTGAGCCGGCGGCAGGTTACCCTCCTACTCACCCTCAAGGGAAATCTCCCTTAAGGCCGGACTGGCTGTCAAGCAAAGAGTGGAACAAAGTGCGCGCGCTGCAATCGCGCGGTAAGAACATTCTAGAGATTGCTCACGCTGTGGACAAAAACGCCAGCAAGCTGCGAATTTACGTCGACACATACCTCAAGAACGCCAATCTCTCACCACTGCCCAGCGCAAACTCAACAAACTCGTCAACTAACTCGACATCCGGTAGTACAGGATCATCAGAGGGTGGACTCTTCCCCCTGGATCAGCAGGTCACGGTACCACAAGAAGGCAAGCCGGACCCATCATTTCTCGACCGCGAAGAGCAAGAGATTGTCTGGAAGATGTTCCAGCAGAACAGTACGGTTCGGAACATGGCAAACAGGCTTCACAAGAATCGACAAAAACTCTCACAGTATATAAATGCTTATATGCGTCCTAGACTTTTGAAGCTCCAGGCCGAAGAACGGGAGGCTGAGAATGCTCCCACGCCCATCACACCTATTACTGGAGCCATTCTTCAACTTCCTCCCTCCAACCCTGTTGCCCCCATAGCCTCTGATCCAGGACCTGCACCTACATCTTCCGAGGAGCCCAGTCTTAAAGACAATGACAATGCAGAATTGCAGGCCTTTTTCGTTGATCCTCTGCTTTTTAAATCTCTAACAGCTGCTATGGAGAATGAGGCTCACAAGAAGGACGAGGTATCATTCCTTGAAACGCCCAAGAGTGCCAGCGATGAAGACTCTCTCTTCGGCGGTGACTCGCCCCTTGATGAGAGTAATGTAGGTTCGTCTCAGCCCCAACTCGTTTCAACTCATCACGAAGTAGGACCAGCTCAGCCGACGCCCACGCCGAGGAAGAGGAAGTTTGAAGATAATAGCGAGATGCCATGTCGCGCTCCCAAGCGTCTTCGCAGTCGCTCTTTCCCATGAACATTGTACATCCATAGGGTGTAGATTTGTTTATCGTCTTCTAAAAAGTTCCAGCGACGGAGTTTGGATAGAATACAACAGGCGGTTAAAAACATGTAAAATTATTGTCTTCCAAGTGTGCAATTAAAATGCTACCGAGTGAAGCCCATGAATCACTGACACTCGAGAGCACAAAACGCAATATGATATGAAGTGGCTCGTCTCTGTAAATTTCCAAGCTTTCAAGTATTTACATTGCAGATTGGAGGGATTGGACTAGTGCCCGATCAGCGACTAATTCTTCGACGTTTCAAGTTAGAACACACGGTGAAAGACCAAGCTACCTTAAAGCGTATTTGTAAGTTCTGGGGAAAAGGAAAGAGTGTAATTGAAGCGAAGCCCCTCTCCCAAGGACTTAGTAATTATGGCCTAGTATATTCATTCTCATTCGAAACCACTTTCATATTAGCTCTAATCCACGCAAAACGTACCCTACTTTTCCATAGCCTTACCCGTGCGCGTGTGCATATGTGCCCTCGCTGGAGATAGCCATTTATGATCTAGAACTGTATTTTTATATTGGTTAATTTGACCAAGATATCGAATCAGCGGTCTGCAATAGGCATGAGATCCTACTGTGCCCTGTTGCCGACCATGACGGGTCGTCACCTGCAGGCAATGCGTTGGAATCATGCCTGACTATGTCAGCCAACCGGGGCACTATGGGCCTTTGAGACCCCTACGCTGTTAGAGTACCATTCTATAAGTATTGAGATTCACCATGGCCGCTGGATGGCATCTCTGAGACTGTTTTGCCAATATAGGGACACAGCGTGCTTGGCAGGTAATGCTCATTGTTGACAAGTGTTCGATATTCGAGGCGGGAATTCCTTCATACCGGATCACGATATTGGGCCTCTCCCACGGTGTTTGTTACAAATCACACCATCTGCAACTTGAATACAGAGGGAAAATGGATGCATCCACAACCCCCTGTGTGGATTTCATGCTTAACTAGCCAGGGTTACAACTCTGCTTCTGTTGGTAGGTCTCTCGTACGTATGATAGTTATATGGGAAGCAATCATATATTTATATTATTTTATTTAAGTTTTAAGAGGCTATATACCTTAAAGGGAATAATTAAAGTAGCTTTTTAAGTATAAAGGTTATACTTATTAATACTTATAATTTTTCTCTTCTTTTAATAAATATATATAATCCTTATTATAATTAACTTAAAATTATAATTTATTATATATTAAGTATATATAATTTTTATTATAAAAAAGCATTATTAAAAAGGCTTAAAATTATAACTTATAAGTTTTAAAGTAAGTTTTAATAATCTTTATTATTATATTATTCCTTAAATTTATAACCTTTATTATTATACTATCCTTTAAATATTATACTTATTATTCTTAATACTTAGTTTTTAAAGTTACTTTTTTATGGAAATTATTAATTTTTATATAAGGACCTTAATTTTAAATTTTTTTTTATAAAGAAAGTTAATGCTTATAAAGCTAATATTAAACTTTTTAACTTATATTTATTTTTATTATATATTTTTATAATATAAATATTATTATTTTTATTTTTACTTTTATTATTAAAATATATTTAATATTACTTTAAATTAATTTTTTTTAATTATTTTTTTTATTTTTTAAAATTAAGCATTATAAATAACTTAATTATTTATTAGCTTTTTCTTTTATTTTTTATTATTCTTTTTAATTTTCTTAATAATTATTTTTTATTTAAATTACTTAAATAATAATATATATTTCTTAATAAATTTCTTTATATATAAGCTTTATATATATTTATTAATAATTTAATATAAAAAGTTTTAAATTTAAGTTAATATAATAATTTAATTTTTTAATAGCTTAATTTTTTTAATTTAATATATATAAAAAATACTTAAAATTAAAATTTTTATTAAGTTATTTATTATAAAAATTATAATAATTTAATATTTAAGATAATAATTATTTTAATAATTCTTATTATTAAAAATATTATATAATTTTATATTAAAAGTTTTAATGCTTTTAATATAAATATATAACTTTTTAATTATATTATTAAAAAATATTTACTTATTTTAATATTAAAAGTTATTAATAATTTAAATAATAGCTATTATAATAGCATTATTTAAGAAAAGTATTTTAGCTTAAGTTATAATTATAACCTTTAGCTTATTAATTTTAATAATTCCTTAAAAGTTTATTTTAATAAATATTTTATTCTTTTTAATATTTAATATAATAATAAAGTTAAAGGTAGTTTTTATAATCTTTATTAAGGTTTTATTAGCTTAGTTTTAATTATTTTTATTATTAATAATAATTAAATTATTATTAATATTAAATAAATAAGAATTATTATTATTAATATCTTTATTAATATTTATTAAATAAATAAGTAAATAAAAGTTATTATTATTAATATTTTTATTAATATTTATTAAATAAGTATTATTAATAATAATCTTATTATAAAAATTAATAAAATTAATAAGCTTATTTTTATCTTTATTATTTAAGGTAATTTTAGCCCTTTTTATATAGCCTTAATAATAATAATATAATCTTTATTTATTATTATTAAATTTATAATATATAATTATTAAATTTATTAAGTTTATAATTATAATTATAATATTTATTTTTTATTAATTAGGTTATAATTATATATTTATAAGGAAATCTTAATTTTAATTTTAAAAAATTATATAAGGCTACTTTAATATATATTATATAATAATAATTATAATGATAATTATATTATATATATCTTTAATAATAAAAATATAATATTTGCTAAATAATTTTGCTTATTATTATTATTTTTATAAAATATATTAATAAAAGTATTAAATAATTTTTATAAATTATTATTAATATTTTTTATTATAATAAAAAGAAAAAGATTTTATAAGAATTTAATAATTAAAATAAATATTTATAATATAAAACTTTATAATTATTATATAATAATTATTAATTTATTCTTTAATTATAAAAAAAGTTAATAAATTATAAATAAATTTAATAAAAGTTAGTTTTAATATTATTATTAATAAATAATAATAAAAAGTAATAATAATAATAAGGTTAATTTTAAAATAATAATTATTAATAATATTAATAATTATAAAATTATCTTTATATATAATAAGGTATTAAAAAGGTTTTAATTAAAATATAAAAGGTTAAAATTTATATTAAGGGTTTAAGTTTAAGAAGTATAAGGTTTTATAATTAATGGTAATAAGGTTAAAAAGAAAAGGTATTAATAATAAGTTTCTTTTTTTTTAATAAAAAGGGGTTATTTTAAGTTTTTTAATTAATTTATTTATTTATATATAAAGCTTATTATTATTAATAAGTTTTTATAATATAATATTTAAAGTTAATTTTATTATTATATTAATAAGGTTATTTTTTTTATTTATTTACCTTATTTTAATAATTTTTTTTATTTTATATAATTTTTATAATAATATAATATTAATTATAAGGTATTTTTTCTTTATTATTTTTAGCTTTATAAGGTATTTATATAAGTTATATAAGTTTATATAAATAATTAAAAGTATATTTAATAATAATAATTATTTTATAGCTATTTTAATTATTATAATTAAGGAAATTTTAATATTTATTTTATTTATTATATTATAAATTTTGCTTATTAATATGCTTTAAATAATATATTTATACTTTATTAATAATTAATAAAGAATATTATTTATTATTATAAATTTCTTAATTTCCTTATAAGTTTTATTTATAAAAATAATAATATATTTAAATTAAGATATTAAGTTTTAATTATTTATAAATAATTTATTTATAAATATAAAAAGTTTTATTATTTTAAGATTTAAAGGTATATATTTAATTCTTTATATAGCATTATTTATTTATTATAATAATTATATATTTAAGTTTTTATAATTTCTTGCCTTTAAGTTTTATACTTATATAATTATTAAAAGATTATATAAAGCTTTTAATTAATAAATTAAAGCTATATATACTTTATCAGCTTTTTATTTAAGGTATCTTTAAAAAGCATTTTTAATTATTGCATTAATAATTATAAGTTTATTAACTTATTTTTTTTAATAAGTAATAATTAAGCTTTTAATATTTATAATTATGCAAGCCTTGTTATAATTTATTAAGTTTTTAAGTATTAGCTTTTATTTTAATTTTCTTTATAATTTTATAGCTTTTATTTTAATTTCCTCTTTATTTTAAAATTTTAATATAAATAAAATTAATATATTATTTATTTATATACTTATTATTTTAAAGAGTTATGTAAGCTTTATAATTATTAAGTAAGGATTATATATAAAGTAATTTATTTTAAGTTTTTATTAATAATGTTTTTAATATATATTAAATTAATAAATGCTAAATTTTATTATATTATATAAGAGTTAAATAATATAAATAATTATATTTAAAAAGTATTTATTTTTTAATTTTTTTAATAATTTTATAAGAATTATTTTATATAGTTTTAACTTTATTTAAAAATAAGCTTAAGTAATATTTTAAAGAATAAAAATTATATCTTTTTTTTTAAATTAATAAAAAGATAAGTATAAGGATTATTTATTAATTTATTTTTTAAATAATTAAGCTTTGCATTAAAATTAATTCCTTTTTATTATTATTATAATCTTAAATAATAAATTAAGATTTCTTATATAATTTTATAATTTTGCTCTTTACTTTTTATATTATATAAAACTTAAAGAAATAATATTTATTATATTGCTTTATTAATTATTTCTTAATTTAAAAGATACCTTTAATAATAAGGTTATTAATTTTTATTTTATTAAATTCTTTAAATAATAAGCTTAATATTATAATAACTTTAT